TTTTTTATGTGTAGAATTATTTTTGGATAAAGTAGTAATTAAATTAATTTATATGGGTCATTTTAGTAACATCAAGGAATTAGTTATGAGGTGGTTTTTTTTTTAATTTTTATTACTTAAATTCGTAGCTTCTTGGGTTTAGCAGGTTATTATAGAAGGTTTGTTGAGGGATTTTCCCGAATTTCTATGCCTTTAACTCGTTTAACACAAAAAGGGGTTAAATTTGAGTGGTCTGATGATTGTGAGAAGAGTTTCCAGGATCTAAAGAGTCGATTGGTGTGTGCTCCAGTACTTATAGTTCCGTCCGGAGATGAAGGTTTTACCATCTATAGTGATGCATCGAAGATGGGCTTGGGTTGTGTCCTGATGCAAAATGATAAGGTAGTGGCATACGCGTCTAGGCAGTTGAAGCCATATGAGCAGAATTATCCTACGCATGATTTGGAGTTGGCTGCCGTGGTGTTTGCATTGAAAATCTGGAGGCACTATTTGTATGGGGTGAAATGTGAGATATTCACTGATCATAAAAGTTTGAAGTATATTTTCACTCAAAAAGAATTGAATATGAGGCAAAGGCGATGGTTGGAGCTATTAAAGGACTATGATTTGACTATCAATTATCATCCAGGAAAAGCTAATGCAGTGGCGGATGCCTTGAGTAGAAAGACCTCGAGTAATTTGGCTACCTTGATCACTGACCAAAAGAATATCTTGGAGGACTTACAGAGGTTGAATATTGAGATTAGATGGCACAACCATGGAGTGCAGTTGGCAAACCTTAGGGTTCAACCCACATTGATTGATAGAATTAAAGATGCTCAAGGAAGAGACTCTCAGTTGCAAAAACTTAAGGCTGAAATGGAAATAGGGCTACAGATGGAATCTTGTATGCATAAAGATGAAACCTTGAGATTTGGAGAGAGGTTGTGTGTGCCTAATGATTTAGATCTCAAGAGAGAAATCCTAAGAGAAGCTCACAGTTCAGGATATACTGTACATCCAGGAAGCACTAAAATGTATAAAGACTTAAAGAGGAACTTTTGGTGGAATAATATGAAGAGGGAAATTGCTCAATGTTTGGTATGTCAACAAGTGAAAGTTGAACATCAGAGACCTGCAGGTAAGTTACAACCTCTTCCTATTCCCGAATGGAAGTGGGAACATATTACCATGGATTTTGTGACAGGGTTGCCTAGGACCCAAGGTGGTAACAATGCTATTTGGGTTATCGTTGATCGATTGACCAAATCCGCTCACTTTCTAGCTTTTAAGGTAGGGTTCTCCTTAGAGAAGTTTGCAAAATTGTATATCAAGGAGATTGTGAAGTTGCATGGTATTCCGGTGACCATAGTGTCTGATAGAGATAGCAGATTTGTATCTATGTTTTGGAAGAGTTTGCATACAGCTTTGGGCACTAGTTTGGATTTTAGCACTGTCTTTCATCCTCAAACTGATGGACAGTCAGAGAGAACTATTCAAACCTTGGAAGACATGTGAGGGCTTGTGTTATCAATCTTGGAGGTTCTTGGGATGAGCATTTGGCCTTAGTGGAATTCTCTTATAATAACAGTTATCATGCGAGTATTCAGATGGCACCATATGAGGCTTTATATGGACGAAAGTGTAGATCACCTATTTGTTGGGATGATGCGGGTGAAAGGAAGTTGTTAGGGCCTGAGATTGTGCAACAAACAGTGGACAAGATCAATCTTATTAGAGAGCGACTTCGCACGGCACAGAGTAGACAGAAAAGTTATGCAGATAACAGGAGACGTGATTTGGTGTTTGGGGTTGGAGACCATGCATTCCTTAAGGTGTCTCCTATGAAAGGAGTAATGAGGTTTGGTGTTCGTAGTAAATTGAGTCCTAGATTTGTTGGGCCATTTGAGGTTTTAGATCGAATTGGTGAGGTAGCTTACAAACTTGCCCTACCACCTTCACTAGTTGGAGGTCATAATGTTTTTCATGTCTCAATGTTAAGGAAGTATATACCGGATCCTAGTCATGTGATTGATCATGCACCGTTGCAGTTTAAGGAGGATTTGACATATGAGGAACACCCTATACGAATTGCTGATAGGAAGGAACAGGTTTTGAGGCGTCGAGTCATTCACTATGTTAAGGTTCAATGGAGTAATTACTCGGAAAGAGAAGCTACTTGGGAACTTGAGGATGAAATGAGACAAAAGTATCCACAACTTTTTGAGACTCCAGGTATGTCAAATTTCGAGGACAAAATTTCTTTTAAGTGGAGAAGAATGTAAAATCCAAATTTTTATGTGTAGAATTATTTTTGGATAAAGTAGTAATTAAATTAATTTATATGGGTCATTTTAGTAACATTAAGGAATTAGTTATGAGGTGGTTTTTTTTTAAATTTTTATTGCTTAGATGGTTAAGTTTGTAATTTTGGGAGATTGGGTTATAGGCCTACTTGGGCTTTAGGTCTTGGAAACATAGAAGCACAAACAAATAGAGGTAGTGATGTTGTTGTGGCTGCTGCGACAGATCTAGCAGTAAAAAAAAGAGAAGAAGAAGAAGTAAAAAAAAAAAAAAAGATTCATAGATTGGTGACTTTGATCTAATCATCTCGTGGAGGTAAGATTTGTTTTTTTGGTACTCCTAACTATTTCTTTAGACATGGTATCTTGTATGTTGATTGGGTGTATGTATTTTGGGGTTTTGGAATTTACTTGTAGACTATAGGATTAGATTAGTATATTATAAAGAAAAGAATGATAGATGCATCATGGTGATCAATAATAATTGTTTATGTGGTATAGTATTTTATTAGGTTTGTGAGATTGAGGTGGATCTTGGTAATTTGAGATTAGCTTGGGAAATTTATTTTAGCTGTTTGATGTAAGTAACCCTCTATCACTGTTGGTTTATTTTTAATCCTATCGAAATTTATTTTAGCTGTTTGAGGTAAGTAACTCTCTATCACTGTTGGTTTATTTTTAATCCTATCGAATGGTTTAAAATCATAAATATTTATTCGTAGCTTTCCTGTTCTCTTAAAATAAAATATGGGTCAAGTATAAAACAACATCGAATATTATTATGAAAATTATTTGAATATTCGGTGAAACTATTCTGAAAATTATACTAAACGTTTATTCTGAAAATATCGAATGTTTTATTTAAAATTTGTGTATTGTGTGAATTTTGAACATCACTCTAGTCTGACTATGATTTGGACCCTAGCCAATGGGGGTTATTTATTGGCACAGAAACTAGTTTCTTTTGGGGCTTTACCACCGGCCTATGTGTGGTTCTGGGCCTTGTCACGGGCTAAGTGACCGTAGTCACCAAGACTTGGGTTTTGTGAATTGCATCATTGAACCATTTGAATATCGAACCATCAATTTTGAACAACGAAATTTCATCGAATTACCTCATTGTCTTTTCAATTAAAATGTATTGCTACACTGTTTATTTTCAGCTACGAAACATCTTACAAAATAATTGTTCATTTATTGAACTGTAGAAAAATTTATATTTATTGCATTTATTGAACTGAATAAAAATTTATATTTATTGATTATCGATTTGTTTATTTATTTATTTTTTTATACTTGATCCAGCTGGCAGTGATGGTTGGTTATTTACTAGGCTATCTAGCTTACCCTTATTTTAATTTTTTCAGATTCTGAAGAGTAGAGCTGCGCGGGATTTTTTTTTACATATGGGAGTGCCGAGAGTAGGACTATGATTTAAGTACTTGGATTATTTGTTTAGTTAATGGATTTTATTAGTGGACTTGGTGGATAATTTCATATGATAAGAATAATCAATTTTTTTATGGATTTTAGTATTATGATAATTAAGGATTTGATTGGAGTATTTTACATTTTACATTGTTTGTTGGACTCTTAGCCTTGCATGCTCATAAATGCAATCTTTATTTACTCCTATATCACAATCAAATGTTCACACCTAATTAACGGGAAGGCCTCGCAAACACCGTGACGTAGAAACATAGAAAACTATACAAAAACTGAAGGCAAGGCCGTGCAAACAGAATTGTACCTCATCAACCCAATCCCACCACCGAAACTCCGCCTGAATCTTATTCCTCACAACATTGTACAGAAGCGTCAGGTAAAGCAGCGCGCGAGCCCCAGCTCCGACCAAAACCCTTTTCACGTCTGCCACCACAATGCTGCCGCCCACCACCTCAGCATCATATAGTTTCTCCTCTTCCCTACTTCCCAACTTTTCTCCTCCCTTCAATTCCTCTATATACATAATAGCCTCAAATTTCAATCCAAATAATCACAAATTCACAGCCAGAAAAAACCCCAAAATCGCCTCTTTCAATATTCACAAGAAACACAACCTATATGTATATACACAATAATATATGAACAAATACCTTTTTTCACATCCCTCAGTTACACGACCGAGTGGAAAGCCCTAGATTTCAACAACAAACCAAATTTCGGACTATCAGAAAACAATCGAATCGGAAAATGAAGGGATTGTGAATTGCTACCATACTTCGCCGGAAATGAATTGATCGAACGAGGTGTACACGACAAAGATCGACCAGCGACCGCCGATTTGGGGAAGAATTTGGAATAGAATCAGAGAGGCCTTTGGCTGGAAACAAACCCTAGAGTTCGAACATCGAAGCCCTAGACTTTACTCTTCTTCTCTCTCAATTAGGGGTGGCAACTAACCCAACTCGAATCGTACCCTAAATTAGCAAATTAGGATTGAAAATTTTTCGACACAAACAAACAAGTATATGATATGACTTGTGAATTTGTATAATAAATAGATAGTTTTTAGGTTGAATCTTTAGTATTTAGATTGAATCTGTGAAATTCGAAAACGTCATGTCTAATTCGTTTATTTCAACTTATAACCTGTTAACATGAATACGACTCACGATACGACAATAACATATTTTTTTTTGTACCTTTTTATATATATTAGTGTATGGTATAAATAAAAATGAGTATAAACGTATGGTATAAATAAAAATGAGTATAAATAAATAAATAAACAAATAAATTGACAAAAAAAATAAAAAATGGAAAAAAAAAATTAAAAAATAAAAAGAAAAGAGGGAGAAAGGAAGGTAAGATCATTTATGAGATTATTCATAAGATCATGAAAAAATGGTAAGAAAATGAAAAAGTAACAAAAAGAAAAAGTAAAAAAATGTGTAATAAGATATTTTTTAAAAAATACATTTCAGCCATTGTTTTATAATTTGAATAAATCTGAGCCGTTTAAATGTTCTAATAGGACAAAAATATGTTGAAGATTCAAAAACTTTCTTACTTTATTATATAGATAGATATTTATATTAATTAATTGATATATAATGTGAACTTTTTTCTTTTCTTTTCTTTTCTTTTCTTTTCTTCCAAATAAATTTTTTTTTCTTTTCCTTCAAATAAGATTTTTTATGTTTATTTCTCCCTCTCAAATGGATTTTTTGTTGGATCAATCGTGTCAATCATGTCACATACGAGTTGATACAATTATTAACAAGTTGTGTTAGTAGTTACGAATGTAACACGCTTATTAAACAAGTCGTGTTTATGTTTTCAACACACGAACTTAATATAACACGACCTGAACACGAGACGACACGATATTCACCTCTCTCCCCTCAACATAGTGTTATGCGAGTTTATAGAGGATATATCCGATCAGAGACAAAAGGATATGAGTTGTTTGACAAAACTGTTTTTAGGATAATTTTTCAAATTTTTTTAGCTTATGATTTTTGTTTTCAAAAATTGTTTTATATAAAAAGAAAATAATATAAGAAACAATGTTATTATTTTTATTTTTTTTTAAATTATGAATCACACTTGTGAAATGGATGCAAGGTTAGTGTCACGTGTATTCATAGTTATCGGTTTTGCACTTCTTCATTAATTAAAAATAAAATAAAAAATTTATCAATTTAATATATTTATAAAACCAAGTCGTGTTTGTGTTTTCAACACACGAACTTAATATAACACAAGACGACACAATATTCACCTCTCTCTCCACTCAACATAGTGTTATGTGAGTTTATAAAGGATATATCCGATCAAAGACAGAAGGATAAGAGTTGTTTGACAAAATTGTTTTTAGGATAATTTTTCAAATTTTTTTAGCTTATGATTTTTGTTTTCAAAAATTGTTTTATATGAAAAGAAAATAATATAAGAAACAATGGCTCGGTTTGGTAGATGACTAGAACTTTAGTTCCAATCATTGGTTCTCACATGGTATTTGTTTGCAGCTTTCAAAATTTAATTCCACACTCACTTTTGAAAACTCGGTCAAATGTGAGAAAATTTGGACTAACCGGTCGTCCGACGTTCCACCGGTCGTCCATGAATTGTTTCACTTGTTTATTTATCAGCATAACTTGTTTCTGTGTGTCAATTTCCGACCACACTACCAATCAAGCACTCAACTGGAGAACACTGGCAGAATAGATTAAGCCCAAACGACCTGTCACAAAAAGAAGAGATTCCAGTGGTGGTTTGTCTACCCGGGGGCACTTCGATGATCAAGTCAGTTATCTCTCAAAGATAGCAAAAGTGTTTAACTCACTATTCAGAATATAAAAAGTATACCTTAGACCCATGGGAGTGTCTCTCTTTTATAGTTAACTCAATCATAGTCCCAATAGAAGCCTTGCTTCAATAGACTTTAGCTCAGTGCTTATCTTGGACTTTTCAATAGATAAAGATAAACTCCCTAAGAGCTTTATCCTTATTCAGGCTGAAGTCCTTCCTCATTCTAAGACTATTGTCCCTTATCCACTTATCCCGGATTCCAATATCTTCGGAGATAACCTTGGCCTAGCCGAAATCACCTCAGCGTCATGACAAGGACACGTGGTATTTCGGCTGACACGTCGGCGCCACCTTGGCCACGTGTTAGTACTCAAAAAATATATCCCTACAACTGTCCCCTAGGTTCTATTACCTCGGCATCCTGAGGTGATGGAACCTATATCGTTGTGTCATATAGCATGTTGGCTGTCTCGCTGTATTATCCTTTTACCGAGGTCACAATACATCGGCTTCACACAATTAGGTCTTGCAATCTTGTCTCATCAAGGTTTCAGAATTTCCTATCAGCCGATGTCATTGCTTCATTAAACCAAGAACTCCAAAAGTTTTATCACGTGTGTGAGCTGTTATGCAAAATAAATCAACTGTTTCTGCCACGCGTCTTCCCCTCACTAGGTTTGATACGTGCCCGTAAGTCGTCTCGCACTTGGGTGCGCCGTCTGACAAATTCGTCGTTCTAGGCTCATTAATTCCATTTTGCCACCTTTTCGCGTTTTTGACAAAACTTGTGTCCTCTCTCTTCATCTTTTCACTTGACCTCGTTATTTCTGAAGCTTTTTCTCTCTCTAGCTTTTTCTTCCAAATCCTCAATTGCTGCTTTTACGAAGCTTTCTGCAACCAGACTGACTCTCTTCTCCGACGAGGTTTCTACCATATTTCCTTGCTTCCAGCTACAGCTTGATCACGGCGAAAATTTACTTCGGCTTCATTTTTCTTGGGTAAGTCACAGTTCCCACTTATTTCAATTTCTCATTGCTCTTCAAGAAGTTTTGCTTCATTATTTGTTGCCATTGCTGTTTTGCTCAAATATTCGATTTATGAATCATGTATTCGAGCACGTTTACCTTACAATTTTTTTTCTGCCCAATTTGTGTCTTGAATACGCACACACTGTTCACAAATTTGCTCACTTTTGCCACTGTCTTTGGCCTCGTGCCCTTGTGCACATTTTGTCATAGTTTTCTTGATAGTTCACCACTGTTCTTGATTCTGAAACACATTCTTGTTTTTCTGTTTTTTGTGACTTTTCCAGATTTGTGCCTTCAATCTTCGTTTCCATAGATCTAGGTTTGGGATTTGTTTGTAGAACCCACGAATTTTTAGGAAAAATTGAAACGATTCCCCACAAATTCTGTGTATTTTTAGGTTTTAACTGAGGTCCCTAAAACCCTCCAAAACACTCCCTTCTAAAATCCAACTCCTCTAGTTAAGCCGATATCATGGGTATGTGGAAGCATAGGGTAGACACCCCGACCAAGTTAGAGCACTTTAGGCAAGAGTTTGACATCCAGGCTGACGTTCATCCGAGGTTGGCTGGGAATGATGTAACGCCCTCAGAATTAACCCATTATATATATATCATTGACATGCATTATTTAAAGAAAACATAGTCTGAGTGAGCTCCTTTTGCAACTTGCTTAGCTCTTCCCTATTGGGCAAATTCAAGTCTTCCAAGTTTCTTCGGAGATCTTCCCTTTTTTGCAAAGCTAGATCCAAAGGGCTTAGCCCTTGTGGGTTCAACTTCTTACTGAATGATGGCATTAATCTCATCATTTCTAAAGCGAAATGGGCATGTCCAGCTGAGGCAGCTATGTGTAAAGGAGTATCAACAAAAGGGATCTTATCTATACCATCCAAAATATGTGGATCGTCTTTTATGCACTCGTACAAGCTATCGATTTTTCGTGCTTCGGCAGCTGCCATCAACCTTTCTCGTGGAGTTTGCTGTTGTGCCATGACCCGTGTGACTAATACGAATACACGGGAACTGAATTGAAGATTTGCTTTTGGAGATTCTTTTAAGACACTTGAAATTATACTCAAAGTTGTGCTTAAAAGGAGGAAAGTGGTTACCTTTTATAGCAAAAGCTCTACTGACCAGAATTTTGGAGAAATTTTTGTATGCTAATCGGATACCACGTGACACTACTTTTCATTAATCATAAATATATGTCTCATATTATTCTCTAAACACTTAACATAAATATAGTAGATCCTACTGTCAAAGCCAATTATAATAATAAAAGGTACCACATGACATATATCATATTCACGTATAAAAATCTCTCAGAATTTGGGTTTAAGAAAATTAGTAAAAAAAGGTAGTGTGCGGTTAGGATTAAATTGATATATTATAGAATTACATTTAGAGTGAATGTGAGCCACATATCACTTTTATGTGTGAAAGTAAGAAAACAACTCTAATTATACTTTTATTTTTTACTAGTTAAATTATAAAAAAACAGTAGTAATTCTTTATTTTTTGCTTAATTTTTTTTTATCTATATTTTTCAACACTATTTTTTATGTTACCTATTTATTCATACAAACTATTTAAAAAGCCTCATAAGACTTTTCAAATGTAGTTATCCTTAAACAATTTTTTTTAAAATAACTATGGTAATAGCTAGCTCATTAAAATGACTAAAATATGATAATGTTATCTATAATAGCTAACAAGGCTCATTTAAAGAGTTCCTTTGGCAATGAGAAAAAAAGCTAGCTTATTAGTTTATTAGCTTATTTTGATTATATCACATTTTTACTTTTTTATATATATATATTTTTTAAAAAAAGTAAAAAAAAAAAAATCAATAAACTAATTTTTTTTTTTTATCTCTATTTCCCAAAACAAGCATAAGTATGTAGAATTACTATGCCTTTCTTATTAGCGGGAGATCATTATAGGGAAAATTACCAATCAGTGGTAATCTTCAAAAAATTAATTGGTAATCTTCAAAAATTATTAAACATTAATGAAAAGCTTTATAATTTTAATTATTAATATTTATAATATTTATCACTTTTTAGTAATTTTTTTCATGCCCCATTGACAAGTTATTTCCCCATCATTATATGGCTGACCACAAGAATTTGGGTGTATATATATAGGGTTTGGATTATCCGAGGATGCCGTCCGGATCCGTGGGTTCACAATGGATTCTATTTCGATAATTTGAATATAATAAATTGAACATGCTGTGATTATCAGATCGATTTAATTTTTTTATGAATAATAAATATGAAGGACCCTACAAAATAAATAATTCAAATCAATAAAATAAAACCCGAACCCATTGTGGGCCTTAATGCTACTATAATAGTATAGATAATAATATAGATATATCCCATTGTGGGCCTCAATGGCTGCTCTAGTAGTATAGATAATAATATAGATATATAGATTAGTAATTATGTTAAAAAAAAAAAAAAAAAAAAGAGATTAGTAATTACCAAACAAAATCTCTAATTTATAGCATGAGCATGATCTAACCACTCAACTTTTTTGATCTTTGAAGTACTATGCTTTAAAAGTGGCTCAAGAAAATTCTCTAACAATGATTGAAGATATCGCTCAGAATTATTCTAGAATTTAAAAACAATATTTGGGTTACTGAAAAAATGCTTTCTAGGAAGGTATCTATAGAGATTTAGCTTTTAAAACTGATTTAAGAAAGATTTTAAAAGACAAACGAGCAATTGATTGCATTAAGCGTGCAAGCGATCACACTCATAAAAGAGGGATCGATTGCATGTTGATAGTTGCCTTTTGAAAACTGTGCCCAAAATTTTGAAAAACACGATCGGTCACTTCCTTTTTGAAATTTCCTTTTGAAAATGATTGATCGCCTAAGAATCGCTAATCAATCATTCCTCTTTGGAAAGAGAGCGATATACATTATGGAAGCTCCAAAATTAATTTCATCATTTCTTTTAAAAAAAATATTGAACTTTGTTTATGTTTAAAATCATAAATATTTTTTTAATGAAAGAAACTGTCGTGATCAAAGTAGGCGTTACATAAGAAAAATTAAAAAAATCAACCAAACTGATTAAACCAAACCAAACCATTTATATTTGGTTTGTTTTTTTAATAAGAATTGGTCTTTTCAGTTTTTAAATTTGATTTTTTTCGATTTTCGGTTCGATATAGGTTCAAGCACATTGTGTATCGAACTAAACTGAAACCGACCGTTTCAACATATATTGTATTTATATTATATATATATATATATATACATAATCTAATAATATAATGACATTAATAAGTATAATAAATTATTAACCTTAATTAATTAACTTTATCATCTTTGTAACTTAAGTTTGTAAACTTTTATTACGTATAATTTTAACTTTAACTCATTATTCTTAAAATTTTTAGTATTTTTTAATTTTTTTTTGTTTTTATTTTTGTTAATTTAGGAATTGAAAAATATTTATTAAATGGATGAATTAGATATGTTTGAAATGATGAATAAATAATTAATTTAATATTTTTATATAGATTAGTGATTATATTTAAAAGTGACTCAAGTTAAAAAGGTCCTAAACCAATTAAATCATACTAAACAAAACCATTTTAATCGGTTCACTTAGGTGCGGTTTAATAGGAGAAGCAGTCTGTATTGGTGTTCAAATAATAAAACTGATATTATCAGTTCGGTAAATTTTTTTTTACCTAAATACTGACCGTACCAAACCGATTACATCCTAGTGATAGCAATAATAATATCCACATTGCGTCGAATGTTAGAGACCTAAATACTGACCGTACCAAACCGATTACATCCTAGTGATAGCAATAATAATATCCACATTGCGTCGAATGTTAGAGAAAATACTTTTAGATTTGGGGTTGAGGGTAGGTGTTGTCACAGCAACGGCGTGGTTTAACTTATTACTCAAAAAAAAAAAAAAAAAATGAATCTCACGAAAAAATGCGCCGTCCTTCGCTGTAGAATAACAATTAGGTTTGGGTTAACTTACAAAAAGCTTAAAAGGAAAAAAATAAAATAAACCTGTGACCATGTTTTTCTATTTAGTATAAAATTATAATTTTAGACTTAGGGTTCACTTTAAGAAAAAAGAAGAAACTTAACATCTACGAAGAAAGTTTTTTCACCATTGTCACAGTGATTCATCATCAATCTTCATCGCCAATCCTCACTCACAAGACCATCTCGTGCTCAATCACTCTCTTATTTCAGGTATTATAGAATCCACACCCCATATGCAAATATGAATGTCATAACTACAAATAATAATTATTAGTCATAATCAAAGATCACATAGAGAATAATCTAAGATCTTTTTAATCATAATTAAAATAATAATCAAAATAAGTTACAATTAATATCACAATGAGGGATAATTAGGGATGGAACGAAGATTTCATTATTGGAGGGGTCAAAAGATAAATAATTTTTTTTTTCACCATCTACACAAACACACATGTATATAGAATATGATAACCAATATTTTTTGGGCTGACCATCTGATGATTATGGATTATGAAAATTTTGGGGATGCTGTTTCATGCGACACAACATTTCGAACAAACAAAGAGTATCAACCATTTGCCCTTTTTACTGGCTTTAACCATTTTAGAATGACAGTGATTTTTGGTGCCGCATTACTATATGATGAAACAACAGCATCATTTCAGTAGTTATTTGAAACTTTCTTGCATGCAATGTCGGGGAAAAAGCCTAGTACTATTTTTACAGACCAAGATCACGCAATGGCTAAAGGAATATCTTGTATCATGTCTGATGTTACTCATGGATTGTGTACTTTTCACCTAATGCAAAACACCTTGACGCATTTGGGCCATTTGTACAAGGGCAGCTCAACATTTGGAAGTGACTTTAAAGCTTGTATTTTCAGATATGAAGATGAAAATGAGTTAGTTGAAGCTTGGAAATCTTTGATTGTTAAATACAACTTGGAGGAGAATACATGGATGAAGAAAACTTGGGAACTTAGAGAGAAGTGGGCACACGTGTACATGAAAATGGTCATTTAATGCAGGTATGCGAAGCACCCAACTCAGTGAGAGCTTGAATGCAAAATTAAAAAAGCATTTAAAATCTGGCCATAATATTGTTCAATTCTTTATCCATTTCGATCAAGTTGTTTTAGACAAGCGGTATAATGAAAGTTATGCTATTTATCAATCTAGACAAAAGTTACCAAGAATAAAAATTAAGAATTGTCCCATGTTAGTTCAAACTGAGAAACTATATACCCCTCCTATCTTTGATTTATTCCATGACGAGTTTGACAAGTCTCTTCCTTGTTAAGGAAATGCTGTGAGTTAGAAGGAGAAATTAAATATGTGATTGGTTTGTATGGAGAAGATAGAGAGTATATTGTAGTGGGTGCAATGGAATTTGATAATTTATGAGGCAAAACTCTACAAAATGTTTGTTGTACTTGTCGAAAATTTGAGAGTTTTGGAATTTTGTGTAGTCATGCGATTAAAGTGCTTCATCAGATGGATGTTATGGAAATTCCCGATAGATATATACTAGTGCGATGGAGGCTAGATGCAAAGGATTGTTCATCTAAAGACAAAAAAGTTATAGTGAATGAGGTTGATCCCAAGTTGGTGATATCGGCGCGTTATAGACATCTTTGTCCTAGAATAGTAAAATTAGCAACTCGATCATCTGAATATGATACTGTATATGAGTTTGTGAACAATAGTATTTCTGATTTGTGTGTAAAAGTGGATAATATGATCATTGCAGTAAATAGCTCAAATACTTCAAGTAGTGGAGGCCCCATTGACATGGGATTAAATGATATTGATCCAAATTTTGAAAGAGTTAAGGGTTTGAAAAAGAAAGACAATGTACAAAAGAGTGGTAGTAGGTTAAAGCCTTAGCATGAGAAGACTGGAAAGAGGACAAAAGTTGTTTCACGACCTTGCATCACTTAGGTATTAATCTTATTTAGCTATGTAATTTTTATATTTTATATTTTTATTTATTTATCTTACTTTGTGCAATGTACTTATAAATACTTCAAAACATCCGTAGAATATTGACCAATGCATGTAACGCCCTAAAAAGTAAACCCATAAATCATACATTCTTGACATGCATAAACAAAAGAGAAATAAACACATTTCCATTCATCAGAGTTTTCATTACAAAATGTATTACATGTTGATAACAAAAGTAAATGCCTTATAGGCTTACAACTTTCCAAGTCAACACTTGGGTCCAACAAAAATAGAGTTCTAACTCTTTACACAAATAAGCCCTTGGCTTGAATTTACATGTAATACAAAAAAAAAAAAAAAAAAAAAAAACAACTAAACAAAAGGGTCTAACAGCCTCAAGTCTCCCAAGCTATGTCCTTGGAGGTGGCATGTCACCTGCACCTGAAAATGATATCCCATATAGGGTGAGCCAACGCTCAGTAGAGATATGCTAAACATAATATGAGCAATAACTAAAACATTAGCATTTGATAAACGTTTAACTCATATAACCCAACTTATAACACATTCAATTCCATGACAAATGTGCCCTTATTTCATTTCACTTTCCTTTACTCATTCGATTCTCAATTTATAAACATGGCTCAGAACCCGGCCAAACAACTCAAACAGAGATTTCATCTCATATTAAAACACTTCCTTTACCCACATTTCAATTTTTAATGAGATAACGACTCATATCAACAACACTTTCAGTTTCAAATGAGATAACGACTCATATTTAACACTTTCGTACTTCACAAATGATACACAGATTTGTTGTATCAATGGAGTCCATCCCCTATCTCTTCCCAAATAATATCCGGTTTAGGATTCCATCCCCTAACTCTTCCTAAACCGTAGAGTACATCTCCTATCTCCTCCCACACAATACAATGTATATAAACATTTATCATATACATGTTCAATCAATACACAAATTTGATGTATTATTCCAACCGTCATATTCGATGACATATTCAATTGATTAGTTTTAATTCGCCTAATCATCATGCATTGTCTACAACAATCAAGACTATCCTCCACCGACAGCCCAAACCAATTATTTCTAAACAGATAATAAATGCATCAACAGATAAATTATCAACAATTCTCAAGGTGAGTGATTATTAAATCCAACTCCACCATTCTACTACATAATGAATCAATTTCTTTATTTCCAACTCAATTTTATATTTCCATAACATTCCCAAATTAGTTATATAAATTAATTCATAACAAAACTAGGGTTTTCCTCCCTCTTTCCCAACATTGACCCAAAGGCTCAAATATCAATAATCTCTCTTCAAGACCCAAAATACATGTTTATGGGTTAAAATCACAAAACCCCTCTTTATCACTTTTGAAACCCTAACACCCAAAATTTCCCAAATCAACATTTAATCAAAATGACCACATGTTTATGTCAAAGACCATAAAGATGAGTAGTTATCCTTACCTCAAATTCGGAGTTCAAAGGAAAAGATGAAGAATTTCGAAGGTGCTCCAAATCCCAATATTTTCGGACCAAAATGAAGCTCTCACCAAACCCCATACTTTTTACAAAGGCCTAAGGGTAGGAGATCAATCAAACTAGATCAAACCCTAGAGAGAAGTTGAAGTTTAGAGTGATGTGCTCTCCAATGGAGGTTTTGAAAAGTAAGAGAGAAAAAAGGAGTTGAAAAAGTGATCCAAAAAGTCGGACTTCGGACTGTTATACTGCACTCCCCGCTCGAGCGTGGAATGCCCCGCTCAAGCGTCAGACACAGACTCACGCTCGAGCGTGAAAAGCGCTGCTCGAGCGTCGATTGCACACTTCCAAAAGTTTTGCAGACCATGGTATCCGCTCGAGTGTCAGACTCCCGCTCGAGCGGAGGAACAAAATCAAAGGGGCACGCTCGAGCGTCAAAACTCCCGCTCGAGCGTCCGACAACCTGCAGAGGAAAATACTGAGAGAAGGAAAATTACGCTCAGGTGTCAAAACTCCCGCTCGAGCGGAGGAACAACAACAAAGGGCCCGCTCGAGCGTCAAAATCCCCGCTTTAGCGTGAAGGCCAAAATCTGGGCATCAACTTTTGGTTTCTAAACACGACCCACCAGTTTCAAACTTGCCCAACACATCCTAAAACTCAAATATAAGAAATTAAAGGATGACAACATGATATATACAATAACTAACTCCACAGAACCTAAGTCCGGATACAACAACCAAAGGAGAAAGAACCAGGATCGCTATAATGCAACAACAATATAGATGTCCAAAATTCATCTTCAAACCAATCACATGTGAGTTTTTTTTTTATTTTTTTTATTTACAATATATGGTGCAAATGTAATGATAACGACACATTGTATTTACTTATAATTATTTAGGATGTTTATACACCTTATTGGTCACAAAGGATGAATTATAGGTATAATCTTTTCACGCATGACGTTAATTGTCCACCATCTCACCCACAGTCGGTGCTTTTGTCTTCCCAAGTATCATATAGTCCACCAATTTCTCAGGTATTTAATATACTTACATTTGAAAATAAAAAATAGTCAATAAATTTTATTCTAAATATATTTTCTTATATACTTTTTTCTTCCAGGAAATTTCAGTTGATCCAATAGCGCAAACTCTTATGGAGGCTTCGTCATGTTTGGACAAGGATGAATTTGTTAATTTCTCTAGGAATTCACAACTACCTCCACAAAATTAAAAGAGATGGCATTTGATTAACATATAACTATTGCCTTATCATTACTATAATTTTTACTTTCCAGATATATTAGGCTCGATCATATTATTGTTTATTTATTTTAATAATTTTGAAATTTGAATTTTGGATGATTTGGTATGTGAAGAAATTAGATTTACAATGATATTGAATATTCAATTTGTTAGTTGGTTCGCAATTTAAATTCAACTTTATTTTTTTAATTTTGATTTAATTTAGTTGTTACAATTATATATATTAGCTACATGTACTTTTTGTATTATATGGTTGTTACAGGTTGTATAATTAAAATACCATTTGTTTTAAGTGCTTATATTTTTACATTGGTGTTGTTTTAAAATTTAAAGTAAATTACATCGGTAGTTTCTAAATTTTGTCACTTGTGTCGTACTGGTCCTTATACTTTCAATTGGCTTAATTTTGATTCTTATTTTTTTAGATTTTTGTGTCAATTTCGTTTAATTGATAATGATGTTAGGATTTTTAACAAAAAATAATTACTAAGTTGGTTGATGTTAATTCAGTAAATTAATAAAATTTGTCCTTACGTGATACATATCGCTCATATGCGTATTTTTCATAAATACAAAAATAACAATTATAATGAATTGAATTAAATTGGGACAAAATAAAAAAAAATAGTTAAAATCGAATTAATTAAAATTACATGAATTAAAATGACAAAAACAAAATATAAAAATATCGGTACAATTTATCCAAAAATTTATAAGAACTAATGGTCATAAGCTTGTGTTTATATTTTATATTTTATTTCTTATATAGCTTTTCTTTATTGTCTTAAACTCAGCCTAAATATTGTTTACAGTATCCTCCGTGTGATTCAAAACTAATAATGTAATAATCTATTATGGTTATTTAATTTTTTAGTTAAAATGTTTAATCTTGACAAGAGACATTAGGTGATTCATAATTCATATTTGAACAATTTGATTTGAAATTTTTTTCTTTTTCAGATTGGAGATTGAAAGCCAATTCAATAATTTAGTTTCTTTTCTTTTTTTAAAAAAAGTGAACCTAAGTCTAAAATTATAATTTTATACTAAATAGAAAAATATGGTCACAGGTTTATTTTATTTTATTTTTACCTTTTAAGCTTTTCGTAAGTCAACCCAAACCTAATTGTTATTGTACAGCGAAGGATGGCGCATTTTTGCGTGAGATTCATTTTTTTTAAAATAAGTTACACGATGCCGTTGCTGTCACAGCATGTGCTGTGACAGCACCTACCCTCATCCGGTATTGGGTTACACAGCAAAATTTCATTGTATAATCTAATTTGAATATTAAAAATCGTTTCATATGCATGTTTGACATATATTTAAAGAACCTCCCGAACTAATTTCATGATTAAGTTGATTTTTTTTTTCTTCTTTTTATTAATTTTGGGTCTTTCTTATTTAATTTATATATCCACAATAATATAATATTTGATATTAAAATAAAAAAACGTTGTTATCATTGTATTAATTATATATCCACAATAATATAATATTTGATATTAAAATAAAAAACATTGTTATCATTGTATTAATTATATGTCCACAATAATATAATATTTGCTATTAAAATAAAAAACGTTGTTATCATTGTATTAATTAGCTATAATATATATAGTGGTGAAATTGTTTAAGTTAACGTTAACTTGTATCAAACAAATTTGTGATTTTTTTAATTTTATTTCCAACCCTACCGAATAAATCACAGAAAACATAACCAATCAGTCTTATTTTTCTCTTAACATTATTATCATGTCCTTCAAGTTTTAATATGGACATTGGACAACTAAGTTTAATTTTCATAACATATTTCAAAAAATTTCATTGCTCCATAATAGTGTATGTTATTTTAATTTTATCTCTCATTTACTATGAACAATAATTTCATAAATATTTTTTATCTAATTAAAATAATATTTTTTTTAATTGTAAAACACATGATATTATTTTTAAAAAATCATAAATCATAATGAAAAAATTATCAATAAATTCTATTTTGTTTTGAAAATTATTATTGAGTTATATCAAATTTCAATACTAACAAATAAATATTTTTTTATTTATAAATTGTTATAAAAAAAAATTCAATTGTTCATAATAGTATATTTTATTTTCATTTTATCTTTTTTATTAAAATATGAACAAAAATTTCATAAAT